CCAAAATGTTCATACAAATAGAAGCAGTTTTTCTTAGCTGCATCCTTAGGTTGCTGCCTTGTCTTTGGTGCTGGGAGTTTGATCAAACCTCTGTTTACTTTGAAAATGACCAGCACAAGAGAAGTTACAATATCTACCACTGTGGAGGTACTTTGCATCTTAACATTAGTTAATACTAATAGTTAATTCATTAATGCTAATACTGGTAACCTTCATATGTGGCTGCAGAAATTCTGCAGGTTCAACAGTCCTGGTCAGAGCCAAACAGCTAACAGCTTTTACTGAAGCTTCAGTGGGTTGTGTCTTTTCTCAGCACCCGCTCTGTTCCTTCTATCTGCCTCCCATCTTGAGTTATGCTGCAAATATTCCTGACTGGCTCCCCCAGAGTGGCTGGTGCAACTTCTGGCATTGTACTGGTCTCCAGACCAACAGAAACCAGAAAGAGGCAATACCTTGCTGTATTTCTAGTTTATTACCACTGTTTCCTTAAAATTCAAAATGGAACCAGAACACGTCATTTTACATGCTCTGAAATATATCACTTGGCACAGGGAGTGGGAAGGGAGGGGGCGGGGGGAGAAGACATAAGGGCAAATCTGTTGAAGTTAACCATAATGACAACATTGGATTTTAAAATTTACTTTAAAAGATACTAGCGATCAACTGAACTTGATGACTAAAGAATCTAGAACCAAAATGATTTTTAATTGGCATTCAATAAAACAAAGACCACCAATTATTACTACTGCTGTTGGTGTGTGAATTTTAGAGTGTGCCACAAAGAAGCCACTACCATTTCTCTATCCCATGTTAGTGAGGAGTAAATACTGTTTCCTGTGATCTCAATAGGAAAACTCCCACTCTACCTTCAAAGGGTTCAGGAATTTACCCCATGAATTTTGCTCTCTTCTTTCCCATTACCAGAGAGTATCCCAAAAGGTCTGACCATAGTGTCCTCCTTTTCACCTGCAGACTTCATGGGTGAGCTTATCAGGTATGTGGTTTCAAACTGCCACCATCATGCTGACAATTCAAACCTGCCTTATTCAGTCCAGTCCTACATTACTGTTTCTGTAATATCTTTTCCCAGATGTTTTCACTTTTACATTTAACATGGCTAACAATAAACTTTGTATTTTTTCCACCCATACTTTCTCCACTGCCACTGGTAGTGAACTACATATAAACACCTTAGAAAACAACATAAACGAGTTTAATCTGCTCTGAATGTGTTTGGCAATTAGGCAATGTATTTAATTTTCTTTATCGGATAATGCATTAAAAGGTAATTTGGGACATTTTCTTAATAAAAAGCTAGTAATAAAGAGAAATATCTTTCAATTAAGTTAAAAGTATAATTAAAAATTGTTCGATTCTCTAAAAAAGAGCGGAGAGATTTCAAGTAGGCTGATGTACTTATAACTTGAGTACACCCTTTGTAATAACATACATTGAGAGATGATGCATTAGTTTGCCAAAACTGAACTCTCTCAGTCTTTCCACTTTAAATTGTAATTGGAAGGCTGTGAAAATCCATAACAATGCATTCTTCTCGTCAGCTACAAGGAACAGTCTAATAGAAAATCTCTCCATTAGGAAAGTAAGCAGTCACATAAAATTAGAAAAATATAAAATCCACATGTAAGTATAAATACTTTTACAACAGTTATTATATACAGATACAAAATTTCAATCTGGAATCAAGGAAAACACAACGGAAAAAAGAACAATTTAGCCATTAGCTGAACCTATGCATGACTGTTTACAGAAACTGAGAGAAGAGAACAAAGTTCATATTTACTTTATCGGGTGGATATTTCATATGAACGTTGGAAGGAAAAACCATTAAAATGCATGATTCAATACATACTGCACAGAGATAACAGCCTTTGCAGAAATTGGAAGGAAAGTCAGTACTGATTAATTTTTTGCTTCCTAGTTTTCTGCTTTCCTAAAGTAAATTAGCAAAACTTCCTACGTGGTAATTCCAAATCTTTCCCAAAGAACAGGCATATGTCTTAACTATATGCATTTTTAATACACACATTATTAAAAATGGGTACTTTTACATTCATTCTTGTACAAAGGATATGCCCCCAAAATGGGAACACTGCTTTCCTAGAAAAAAAATTGCTAAACATTCAAATAACCAAAAAAGAGGATAACAGAAACTTAAGAAACTGCCGCATCAGATCAGACCAGGGACTAAATTATTCACAGTCATGTTTCTAACAGTGGCTGCTTCCAGGTATTTCAGAGGAAAATGCAAGAAAAATTTTACTGGAATAATAATGGAATAACTTTAGTCATTGAATGTTTCTTCCTAACTCACATAATATGTAGTTGGGCTTGTGCCTTAAAGCATGATGGTTTATATCCTTCATTAAAATGGTCCCACTTAATGAAAGAGTGGATTTTTTTTGGAATCCTACTGACCACTTCGGCCTTCATGATATCTGGTACGTTCAAAGGCTAAATACACACTGTACAAAATATATTTCCTTTTTATGAGTTCCAAATGTGCTGTCTTTCGTTTTCATTGAATGTCCTTTTAATACTTGCATTAAAAAAAGGTATACAGAAATACTAATGGTATACAGAAATACAATAGCATTCATTAATCTGTCTCCTTTCATTTGCATCTTAAGATAGGACATCAAATAGCCCTATGTTTTAATTTTCCATCATGTACATTCAGCAATACTTTTCATTGATTCATCCACAATGACACGCAGGTCTCTTTCCTCAGCAATTACAGCAGTTAGTGTAGAACTTTGCAATGTAGAATTACTATTTAAAGCTTTTCCTTCTAATACAAGCTATCTCACACTTGCAAATGAATTGCAAGCGCTTTTCCAGTCACAACTAACCTAACTAATTTTGTATTACCTGTAGGTTCTTCAGGCTCTCTCTCCGTTCTTTTTCCCCAGAACAACGGTATCCAGAACCTAGAGCCCCCTCTCTATTGTCCGTCTGCCACAAAGAAAGTAAATTATTCTTACACTTAAGGGATTCATATTCATAGATTCATAGATGTTAGGGTTGGAAGGGACCTCAATAGATCATCGAGTCCAACCCCCTGCATGGGCAGGGAAGAGTGCTGGGTCTAGATGACCCCAGCTAGATGCATATCCAACCTCCTCTTGAAGACCCCCAGGGTAGGGGAGAGCACCACCTCCCTTGGGAGCCCGTTCCAGACCTTGGCCACTCTAACTGTGAAGAAGTTCTTCCTAATGTCCAATCTAAATCTGCTCTCTGCT